GCCCGCGTCCGGATCCGCACGCACCAGCCGCAGCCTTCGGGGACATTTGGAGCGGACGTCGCGCTCTCCACCCGCAGCGATGTCGTCCTGGCTCGGGGGCCTGGGCTCCGGCTTGGGCCAGTCTCTGGGTCAAGTAGCGGGCAGCCTGGCTTCCCTCACGGGCCAGATCTCCAACTTCACGAAGGATATGCTGATGGAAGGCACGGAGGATGTGCCAGGTAACAGCTGGAGCGAGGCGGGAGGGCCCGGCTGCGACCCCGAGAAAACCCTTTGCCTCCGCAGACGCCTTTCCAGCCTGCAGGACACTGGTCTCTCCCCCCCCATCAGTGGATACCCTGGATAGCTCAGGAAAGTGGAGCTGCTACTTTTACGCGGACTAGGGTCTTAACGCTTGCTTGTTCCTTACTTTGCCCTTAGTTTGGGGGGCGGATCTGATCTTGATATCCCGTTCCTTTATTTTGACAGCTAAAATGGCATGCAATTTTTTTTCTTAAATACTCACAATTAAACATTTTATGACTCTTGTCCTGTCCTTAGCACTTTGTCAGGGGGAATAGGGCTGTTTATCTCTTTACCTGTTTTCTAATTTTGCTCACGGGGAAGACACATTGCAGCTAAAAACGTATTTTTTTTTAAACGTTTTTTTTTTTTTTTTTTTTTTTTGTGTTCGGCTTCACATTTCTCTCCTATTTTGACAGAACTTGTGAAATGCTTTATCTTTTGAGTATTCTTATCTGCTTCACCCACTTTAAATTTTTTTAGCTATTATCATTGCTGTGTGTGTGTGTGTGTGTGTGTGTGTGTGTGTGTGTGTGTTTTGAATGAGCATGGACATCTGACACAGCGCCCACGTGTGGATGTCAGAAGACAATTTTGTGGTGGTCTCTTTTTACCTTTAGGTGGGTTCTGGGCATGTAATTCAGTTCTCTAGACTTGTATGACAAGTGCCTTTACTCATTGATTATCTAGCCAGCCTCCTTCAGTCATTTTTGATGTCATCACCTTGCTGTTCTAACAAATAGCGACCTAGAATTCAATTGTAATCAGTGGTTATGTTAATTACTATTAACTATTCTTAACATTTCTTTGAGTGGGTAGGGTTTTTAAAAGTTTTAATCAAGGGAGAAGGTAGTTAATCCAGCAGTTAAGAGCTCTCACAGAGGACGTAGGTTTGATTCGCAGCACCCAGTAGCAGCTCACAACTGTCTCTAATGTCATTCAGTTCCAGGGGAGCCTATGTCCTCTTTGGGCCTCACCAGGAACTACTTGGCCCAAGTGGTGCACAGACATACATGCAGACAAAACACTCATACTCATAAAATAATCATAATAAAAATTTAAAGTTCTGATCAAGGTTTGCCTTGCAGCTCAGGCTGGCCTGGAGCTGACAGTCTTCCTGCCTCTACCACGCTATGATAGTTTTATTTCTTTAAACGAACAACTTACTCTTCTGGTTTAAGCTATGGGAAGGACTTGCTGGAGAATGAACGCAGGCCTCATGCATGGTAAACACTACTGAATTATACTCTCAACTCCCCAGTTTTTTCATTATGGTTTAATAGCCATGTGTATTGGCTGGAAAGAGAAATAGTTTGATAGAAAAGGTCTTTATATTTAGAAGGAAAACTGGGTCGCTGCCCAAGCCCATTTTCCTGTTTGGGCTTCCCCTTGAGTGGACGGTTCATGACTTGGAACAGTGAGAACGAAAGGCACTCCTCATGTGTCCAGTGAAAGGTCATGGGACTTCGAAGGCAGAAAAGGGCTAATAGCCATGGGAAAGACTAGACTCTCACTGTGTTACAGATAGGGAATAACATCTTTAAAATAATTAAACTAATATCTTAATTTAAACTGGAAAATAGGTTCCCCCAGCCTGATGTAGCCTTTATTTTGTTTTTCTCACCAGAGAGCTTCCTGTAGTCTCAAAAACACAAACAAACCCCCACTTTTTTTTTCTTTTTTCTTTTTTTGAGACAAGGTTTTACTACTCTGTAGCCCAGGCTGTCCTGGCACTTGCAGTATAGCTCAAGGTTGACTTCAAATAACATTGCTCATGCCTTACCTTCATACAGTGTCAATTTTAGGTTTGTTTATTTAATTTAATTTATTTATTTAGAACTCTAGCCCTGGCAGGCCCAGAACTCACAGTTCTGTCTACATCTGCCTGCAGGACACCAGGAATGCAGGCGTGCACCACCAAGCTTGGCTTATCATCTCAATGTTCGTGATTTGCCAAGCTGCTAATTTTCCTCAGTTAGAACTCTTCATCATCTTTGTTTTGTGTCTTTTTTTTTGTTCATTTGTTTCAAATCGGCCACCAAATCTTGTTCATCCTGTGTCAGTTGTTTCAGTTTTTCTTTATAACTACTAACACTAGCTCAGATTCTGTCTCTCAGGTTGACTCTCTTCTGTTTTACTGTGTTGCTTAAAAATAAATTTCTTAAAATTTTCTTGACTTACAGAACAAAACCCAAACCTCTTACTTTGGGAAGGTCAAAGACCTGTTCCCTTTGGATTCAAGCTATCTTTTCTAGTTGCCACACTAGTTTTCATATCTATTGTTGGCCATAAATACTTGGTTGCCAGGGTTCTTTGTTCTAACAGAGCTTTGTGTCTGATTGCCTGATAGCACTAATGGTGTTGAGTGATAATTTGCCTTTTTTCCTTGATATGTAAGAAGGGGTGTCTTAGTTACTTTTCTGATGCTGTAACAAAACACCATGACCAAGGCAACTTATAGAAGAAAGTATTTAATTTGGGAACTCAAGGTTCCAGATGGGTAGAGTCTATAGCCATCAGGGCAGGAAGCATGGCAGCAGGCAGGCAGTAATGGTGCTGGAGCTTACATCTGATCTACTAGCTCCAGGCAGAAAGAGGGAGAGCTAATGGGAATGGCATGGGGCTTTGAAATATCAAAGCCTGCCTGGAGTGACACACCTCCTCCAACAAGTCCACCCCTCCTAGTCCTTCCCAGATAGTTCCACCTGGGAACCAAGTGTGGTAATTTTTTGTTTGTGACCTAACAAATAGAGCTTGCCTGAAGATTCATTGGGGAGCCATTCTTATTAAAAACACCACAAAGGATTTCCCCCCTCCTCCATATGTTACCAGTGTAGGATATCTTTGTGTGTTCATTGTAGCTGTTCAACAACAATTTCCCCTCATATTACACAGGATTTGATTAATACCTGTTTTGTTGTTGAAACTTTAAAAAAAGTTAGTTTGGAGTAGAGTTGACTAAGCCATTCAGATATTTAGTGTCAACCCTATGTCAGCAGTGAACAAGAAAATAACTCCCAAATAGCACTTCAGATATTAGATGGTTTCTTCCCTACTACTTTATTGTAGTCAAAATTAAGAGCTTGGGCTTTTAGCTGTGTTTGGAATTTTTTTTATTGTTTTCCTTCAGTCGTAATGGGTATGGGAATCAAGGGTCCTGTGCACGAGAACTTGGGCTTTTAAATTAGATTGACATAGGTCCAGTTCTGTTTCCATAAATACTTAATCTCTAACAGTTTCTGGGACTGGAGAAATGGCTCACTGATTAAAATTACTTACTGCTCTTGATCCAGTTTTGATTATCAGCACTTAGGTGTCAGCTGACAATTACTTTTAACTCCAGTTCCAGAGTATCTCATCCCTCCTTGGAACCACCGAGGGCTCCTGCATGTGTGCAGTATGCATACACACTCAGGCACACATTTATATATTTACAAAAAGGAATTTCCTGGGGGCTGGAGAGATGGCTCAGAGGTTAAGAGCACTGGCTGCTCTTCCAGAGGTACTGAGTTCAATTCCCAGCAACCACATGGTGGCTCACAACTATCCGTTATGAGATCTCGTGCCCTCTTCTGGTGTGCAGATATACATGGAAGCAGAATGTTGTATACATAATAAATAAATAAAATCTTAAAAAAAAGGAATTTCCTTATCTGTTCAAAAAGAATAAGCACATCATTTGTAAATCAAAGGACTAAATGAAATAATGAGTGTATGTTGTCTAGAACTGTGCCCAGCAAATTGCAAGCACTAAACACAGGCAGGTGTCTGTTCGGTTTTCCCTTACTGAGAAGGCCAGGGGTTTGTTGCTATTGTTCATTTGTTTGCTTTTCCTGTCACAAAACTTCATAAAAAGCAGGATTTTTAGAGCAGGGAACATGGCACACAAGGCCCTGGGTTGGATCTCCAGCATTAAAAAGAGAAATGGTGGGGAGTTTTTTGATAAAGCTGGAAGAGGGAGGGTAGGTTGCATGGGTAGCCAGTGTGGTCTGCATAAACTTTTAAAGTCCCTCTTAGATACAATTTCAGCTTTTAGCAATTGCTTTCCTAAACAAATTAGATCTTACTTTGTCCTCTTGAGAGTAGCAATTAGGCATTCTTTTTTTTTTTTTAAAGATTTTATTTTTATTTATTTATTATGTATACAACATTCTGCTTCCATGTATATCTGCACACCAGAAGAGGGCACCAGATCTCATAATGGATGGTTGTGAGCCATCACGTGGTTGCTGGGAATTGAACTCAGGTCCTCTGTGCTCTCAACCTCTGAGCCGTCTCTCCAGCCCTAGGCATTCTTTTTAGACTGAGTTTCAAGCAGGATGTACAACAACCATAAAAACAATTCTGTTTGGTGATTTACACAAGACTGGCACTCTGATTAATAGGCATGCCACTTGTTTTTTGTTTTTGTTTTTTAAATAAATGATAATTCTGGGAAGTTATGTTCATAATGTTTATTATTAATTAAATTTTTTGGGTTTTTTTGAGACAGGGTTTCTCTTTATATAGTCCCAACTATCCTGGAACTCACTCTGTAGACCAGGCTGGCCATGAACTTACAGAGATCTCCTGCCTCTGCCACCCAAGTGCTGGCATTAATGGCATGTGCCACCACTGCCAGGCTTAGTTTGTTTTAAAAGTGTTGTTAAGGCTCTTCTAAATGAAAATTATTTATTTATTTATTTATTATGTATATATATGCCACATGCATGTGTGTTACTGTTGGAGGTCAGAAGAGAGTATTGAACCCTTGGAATTGGAGTTATACATGGTTGTGAGTTGCCTGTTTAGGTTTGGGAACAGAGCACAGGTCCTCTGGGAGAGCATCAAGTGATCTTAATTTCTGAGCCATCTCTCTAGCCTGGGCCTTTGGTTTACTTTTTATTGTAGGGTCAAGGCCAGGACCTTGACTAAAGAAACAGCTGTACTGCAGAGCTCTGTCTTTTGCCCTGTTTTTGTGATGTTCAGATGTGGTGATGGGAACTGGTACCCACAGGAGAAAGAATGTAACTGTAGATGACAGTTTCCAGCAGGGTTAGTGGTGCCATTTTGGCATTGCTGGACCCTGACTGATGATGGGGCAAGTTCTTCTGTATATGCTTATCTTATTGGTTGTTGAATAAATTACTGTTGGCCAATGAGGAAGCAATTTAGGTAGGGCTCGGGCCGCTTTGGTGGAAAGATTTATCGTAACAAAATTTATTACTAACTTATTTATTTTAGTTTTTATCCACTTACTTGTTTGCCAGGATTTGCTCTATAGTACAGGCTGGCATCCATCTCAGATCCTTTTACTATAGTATCCTAAAGTTTTGGGGTTACAGATTTGTACCTCCCCCCTGCCCCAGATTCATTCATTCTTTGGTAGTGGGTATTGAGTCAGGGCTTTGCACATGCCAGGTAGATATTGTATCAACTGAGCTACATCTCTCAGTCCTTTGACTAATTCTAATTGAAAACAAGTCAGAATGAGTTCATCCCTGTTGTTGTTGTTGTTTAAGATTTATTGTATATGCATGAGCACAGGTGAGAGACACACACACAGAGAGGGTGGGAGGGAGGGAGAGAGAGAAGAGAGTACATATGCACTTGTGCATGCCCTTGGTTTTGAATCGGGGTCTCTTGTTTCCACCATTGTACTAGATAAGTGAACTTCCTCCCCCCATCTTGACACAGGAATGTTGGATTACAGATTTCAGGTACCTCATCTGGCTTTTCACTTAGATTTTAGGGATTGTCTCAAGGGGTTAGTCTTGGTAATAAGCACCTTTACTCACTGAGACATCTTTCTGTTCCCTCATCTCTATTTTGAATAAATTATGTTTGTGTTACTCTAAGTATTCTCTATTTTTGTTTTAATTATAGGTCATTAATTATTTTATAGTCTTGGTACTAGAGGATAAAAGTAAACTGTAAGCTCTGCTTGAGTAAGTTATAAAATTATAGCATAAGCCAAAAGAGAAGTTTATTTCTTTATTTATTTGGTTTTTTGAGACAGGGTTTCTCTATGTAGCCCTGGCTGTCCTGGAACTCACTTTGTAGATCAGGCTGTCTTTAACCTCACATAGATATGCCTGCCCCTGCCTCCTGAGAACTGGGACTAATGGTGTATGCTGCCCCCACACTGCAAAAGAGAAGTTTATTTAAAACTTCAAATTTGATGGGCGGTGGTGGCACTGGGGAGGCAGAGGCAGGTGGATCTTTGTGACTTCAAGACCATCCTGGTCTACAAAGTGAGTTCTAGAACAGTCTCGGCTAAACAGAGAAACCCTGTCTCAAAAACCAAAACCAATCCACCAAACAAACAAAAAACCACCTTCAAATTTCTGCTGGATATGGTTGTACATGCCTTTAATCACAGTACTTGGGAGGTAGAGACATGCAGCTCTCTGAGTTTGAAGCCAGCCTGGTCTATAGAGTGAGTTCCAGGACAGCCAGTGCTGTTACACAGAAAAACCAAACCAAACCAAACCAAACAAAAAAACCCAAAAAAAATAAAAAAACAAAAACTTCAAGTCTCCTATAACAAAACATACTTATAGAATGTTTCTGAGGGGTAAAGCCACACCTCTTAAGGTGTAGAGGAGAGGAAGAAAGGACAGCCTGTGTGGCGTCCTGGTGAATTGAAGACGGACTGGCACATCCTCTGAATAAGCCCTCCGAAGCCTAGTGTTCTGTTTAAACCTGGTGAAATGCATTTCCCTCAAGACACCTCTTTGGGGTTGGAGATGCAGCCTAGTAGTGGGGCACTTGACTGACATGGACCAATTTTACCACCACAAAACGACTGTTTATTACTCCATATGGTGTTAATCAAATATTCAGCATATACTGTTTGTTTTGTAGCAGATTTGCCCAATTCCGGGAGAGAGGAAAATGAAGCTACTCATTCAGTCTTAAGATCAGAGGTAAGGACAATTGAAGACCGCTGTCAAACTTCAGGTTTTCTATTTTGAAGTCATGGAAGTTATTGAAACTTCTAGAATTTTTAAGTGCTCCACCTCACCTTTCAGCCTTTCTGGTTTTTGTTTTGCCTTGTCTTTTACCAATCTCCTCTAAGCAAAGAGTGTCTATATTTGCTACAGTTGGTTCTTTTATGGTCTCATTTCCACCTCTATCTGTTGGAAGTAGGAAAACTACAAAATTTAGAAATAGTTGTGGTAAAAGTTTATTGTTGGCATTATCTAGCAGTGTGCTACACTGTTGCCGTACATTTGTTTGTTTGTACTTACTATCTCTTAATTTTGCTTTGCTTTGCTTTTTGAGATAAGGTTTCCTGTGTAGCCCAGGTTGTCCTTGACCTGATGTTCTCACCTCAGTCTCCTGAGTATTGTTGGGTTGACAGGCCTATCTTAGTCAATGTTCTAATGCTTTGAAAAGACACTATGGTCAAGGTAACTCTTATAAAAGAAAGCATTTACTTGGAGGCCGGCTGAGTCCATTATCATTATGGTGGGGAGCATGGCCGCAGACATGGTGCTGGAGAAGTAGTCGAGAACTACGTCCTGATCTGAAGGCCGAGAGACATAACCTAGTGTGGATTTTTGAAACCTCAAATCCCACCCCCCACTGACATATTTCCTCCAACAAGTCCATACCTCCTAATCCTTTTCAGTTAGTGCCACTCCCAGATGACTGAGCATTCAAATATCTGAGCCTCTGTATTCATATTAAAGCCACCACAAGGCCTGAATCATCACACCTAGCTAGTGGTCCATTTAAATATAATATGAAAAATGGAATTCTGTTTAATCTAGAGTTTTACATTTCCTAACATAGAATAATAATGTCATATTTGGAGCAAAGAAGTTAGAATATAGGGATAATAAGATAACTTTACTGTTTTGTTCCTTATGAGTCAATGGGTAGTTGTGACTAATCTGGACAGTATATTATAATTAATAGGAATGAGGAAAGCTCTAAAGAAATTGAAAAATTTCAGAGTGGGAGCTATTGTAAAGGACTGTCAGAACTCAACCATTTAGCCTTGGGATAAGAACAGCAAAAGAACACTTAGTGTTGTAGCGAGAAGTGTTCTTAGAGGACTGTAGTAAGCATGATTCCCTCAATTCTAAGCCTATAAAAAGAGAACACTATATCTAGATGCTAACACAGTATTTCCTAACGAACTTGTTGACCTCTGGACTAGGTCATTGTGGTGAGACTGTGGAATCTGAAAGTAGAGAAGGGGCTTGTGAGAAAGGGACACTAGCACTGAGCCTGTAGAAGACAGCAGTGTGGCGGCAGGCAGCACATGAACCCTTAGTAATACCAAACTAGAACATCCTTGAGGAGGGCCTCTGGTACAGACCCACCCAGAAAAGTTAGCAGCAGAATGTGTGCTGGTGTAACTTAATGGAATTTGCCAGTGTGTGTTTTGGGGGAAAGTAAGAAAGATGAACCTTCTTGAATAATGTCTGCTTTGTACTGAGTTTGAAAAAGGGAATGGAAGTTTTCTGTCCTGTAGATCTCAGTCCCTTTAATGCTTCTTAGGACCATATCATTTATGGCAAATATGCTTCTGAGTTTAGAAATATTACACATCCACCCCCTGTAAGTCAATTCCTCATTTGATGCTACTCAAATCCCAGAGGAAGACAAGGGTTCTATTGCTGTGGTACTAGAAATGAAAGAGGTTCTTGCCTCATGTGTATGTGCCTACATATGCCTATGTCATGCTCTTGCTCTGGCACCCTATGTCACCTTGTGGTCTGTTGATGTCCAAGAAAAAGATGATGGTAGCAAGTTTTAGTCTACTCCCTCCCTCCCTCCCTCCCCTCCCTCCTTTCTTTCTTCCTTTCTTTCTTTTGTGTATGTGCCACAACACATGGAGGTTGGAGGACAACCTCAGTTGTCAACCTTTGCCTTTCACCTTGAGACAAGTTCTCTTGTGGTTTGCTGCTTCATATGCCAGGCTACTGGGCCACAGGCTTCCCCGGATTCTCCTGAATCCAAATGTGTCTGGCTTTACATGTGTTTAGGTGTTCTGAGCTCTGTTTTGTTATTGTTTGTTTTGCTTTGTTTTTTGTTTTTTGAAGATAGGGTCTGGCTAGCCTATTCAAGTACTAATTAGGAGTCTTTAATTGCAAACCATATGAATTCACCTAAGCAACCTTTTTCTCTTTTTGCCAAGGAAATAGTTATTAGATTTATTATTTATGTCTAGTAGACATTTTTAGTCTTTTTTATATTATCATTTTTCAGAAGTACAAATAAAATGATAGTGAAGATTTTTTTTTTTTTTTTGAGATAAGGCCTTTCTTTGTAGCCTTGTTTTCAGTTTTCAGACTGGCTGTAGACTAGACTGGCCTTAACTCACAGAGATATGCTTGCATCTGCCTTTCAGTGCTGGAATTAAAGGTGTCCACTTACCACTCCTGACTTCACTAGAAGTTTAATAGTTTATAAATATAGCAAACCCCAATTTGTTGTGTGTGTGTGTGTGTGTGTGTGTATTTGCTTATACATGTCTGTACCACATGTGTACAGTGCCTGTGGAGAGCAGAAGGTGGCATCAGATCCCCTGGACTGGACTTAGAGATGGTTCTGAGCCACAGTGTGGGTGCTGGGAATCAAACTGGGGTCCTCTGGAAGGAAGAACCACCAGTGCTCTGGAAGCACGGAGCGCTGGGTGTGTTGATGGTACGTGCCTGCTATACCAACTGTACTCAGAACATTAAAACAGAAGAGCACTTGGGCCAGTCAGGATGAGATAATAAAACCCCTTCTCAGAGCAACACAAAATAGGTAGTGTTCTTTGATTCATCTGGCTACTTACTAACTTAGGTATAAACAGGAGTATAGTTATCTTGTTACTATTGATTATAGATCTCAGCTGCCTTCTATGTAGACTTTTGGTTGTTACTTCTTCCTTATGTACATGTGGAGGCCAGCAGTCAACTTTGCATGTTGTTCTTCAGTAGCCATCTTCCTTGTATTTTTGTTTATTTGCTTTTTTTTTTTAAAGTGTGTATAGGAGTTCAATATGTATGCATGTCTGAGCACCAAATGCATGCAGTGCCCACGAAGGCCAGAAGAAGGTGTTGGATCCTGTGGAATTAGTGTTACAGACAGTTGTGAGGCATCATGTGTGTGGTGGGAATTGAACCCAGATGCTCTGGAAGACCAATCAGTGCTTTTAACTGCCATCTCTCCAACCCCAGACATCTTATTTTTGAGACAGTGACTCTCAATGGGACCTGAGGCTTACCGATTAGGCTAGGCTGTCTGGACAGCAAGCTCATCTGTTTCTGCAGGAATCATGCTGGATGCTGGCATTACAGCATGGAGCACCACACTCACTACCATGCCATGACAAGGACTTTTGTTTTATTTGAGATAGTGTCCAGGTTCTGGCTATTACAAATAATGCTGCGATGAACATGGTTGAACAGATGTCCTTGTTGTATGAATGTGCTTCTTTTGGGTATATGCCTAAGAGTGCAATTGCTGGATCTTGTGGTGGACTGACTCCCATTTTCTTGAGGAGTCGCCATACTGATTTCCACAGTGGCTGTACAAGTTGGCACTCCCACCAGCAGTGGAGGAAGGTTCCCCTTTCTCCACATCCTCTCCAGCATAAACTTTCTTTGGTGTTTTTGATTTTAGCCATTCTGGCAGGAGTAAGATGGTATCTCAGAGTTGTTTTGATTTGCATTTCACTGATGGCTAAGGATGTTGAACACTTTCTTATGTGTCTTTCAGCCATTTTAGATTCCTCTGTTGAGAATTGTCTATTTAGTTCTGTACCCCACTTTTTAATTGGATTGTTTGGTGTTTTGGAGACTAGCTTCTTGAGTTCTTTGTATATTTTGGAAATCAGCCCTCTGTTAGATGTGGGGTTGGTGTTATTGAGCCCTGGCCAGCCAGGCACTGTCTGTGTAGATCAGGCTGGTTTCCAACTCACAGAGATCTGCCTGTCGTTGCTCTTGAGTGTTGGGATTAAAGGTGTGTATTGCACTCAGTCATATAATATTATTATAATTATTGTTTATGTATGTTTCCTGCGTTTATCTATGTACCACCTGTGTTCAGTGCCCTTGGAGGCCAGAAGAGGGTTTCATATCTCCCTTGGGATTGTTGTGAGTCTCCACATGGATACTGGGAATTGAACTTGGATCCTCTGGAAGAGCCATCACTCCAGCCCTACTTATTTAAAGAATCATTTATTATTTTTAATTTATGCTTTATGTGCATGTTCTTGCCAGTACCTGTTAGTCTCTGCTGGAGCTGGTGTTACAGGTGGTTGTGAGCTGCCTGATGTGGGTACTGGTGTTAAGTTCAGCATCACAAAAAAAGAGATCACTACAATTAAAGTGCCTTTTGTTGTTGTTGTTGTTGCTGTTTAGACCAGTCCCAAACTCAAAGAGATCTACCTGCTTTTGCCTTACATGTTCTGGCTTTAAAGGCCTGCACTACCAAGACTTCACAAGCTTGTGTGCTTAGAAGAGTGAACATGTCTTGATAGGAAGTGAACTTGGTTTTTATTCTGACTAGGTGGTGACAAGGTCTCCTCTCCATCCACTGGGGTCTGACCTCACAGTCTTTCAAGACTGGGCTCAAAGTGAAAGAAGGCCACTTATAGCAGGGCCTTTGTGTAAACAAAGGTTTTACTGGGTGTGTATGGGGGGATTAAAACATCTGTCTGAAAGTCTGAATTCTTTGTCATAAACTTAAACACAAGTTTTACAGTGTTTGATAGAGGAAAAACAAACCCTGATGGTACTGTTCTTCCATTGGGAGCCACGTGAAACAGCAGTATGTGCTCCAGGACCATGTGATGCTGAGCTTGGCATAGCAGTCACTCTCTTCACCAACTGAGTCATCTTCCTAGCCTTATCTCTGTTTTTTCCTGTTTCTTTAAAACTGATAGATATTTGAGGAACTTTGCTAGCTTCTGAGTTTGTTGAAGACAAAATAGGGCTAGAATTCAGATTTTCATTTAAAGGTCTGAGACCTTTGATATTTTACATCATTTTTTTGTGTAAATTTTTTATACTGTGTGCATATGATGGTTGCTAACATGTTTGACTTGGAATCTTTTTATTGAAAATACTTTCTCTTTGCTTCTAGAATGAAAGACTTAAAAAGCTTTACACTGATCTAGAGGAAAAGCATGAAGCATCAGAATTGCAGATAAAGCAGCAGTCTTCCAGTTACCGCAGTCAGCTGCAGCAGAAAGAGGTAAGGGCTTATCCTCATTACTTCATTCTTACTTAATCAAAGTATTAAAAATACTGAGTTTAATATAGCTGGGAAAGCATTCCTATTAATTTTATTTTCTAAGCTAACCTTTGGGAAGAATAAATTCTAGCTTCTATAAGAAGAGCCTTTGATAACATTTTAGTGACTTGGTGTTTATAGTTTCTGATATTTATGAAATATAATTTAATGTGTTTTCTTAGGTTTTAAGAACATTTATTTAGTTTAAATTGTTTTGTAGTACTTTGAACCCAGGACCTTGCATGTGTTAGATATTTTTTTTAAGTTGATTTTAAGTCAGTGTGATCATTGTTATTGACATTTTCCCATGTAAAAATACATTTTGACTGCATGTATTAATATTTTTTATATTGACATGTAATTGATTTTCTACATAAAAGTATGTTAAATGTTTTACAATTCTTTTTTTTTGGCAAATGTTCCTATTTTCTTTTAGTTTGTTAAAATGATTATTTTGGCATTGTTTTTTCTTTGAAGTCTTAATAATTAATAATAAGTAGTTATTATATAATTTAACCATTGTCACCCTGATTCCTGTTGTTAAATTTTCTTTTGTGTTTAATACATCCTTACATTAAGTTGAACCATTTATCCAGATCATTTGGATGCTCTTTAGTTTGTTGACCAACTTCATTTCTACCACAGGCATCTTTGGGTTTTTTAATTTGAATGAGGACTGGGACTGCAGCTCAGTATTTGAGCAAAGTACTTACTTGTCTGGTGTGGGAGGTCCTGAGTTCAGTCCCCAGCACCTTAAACTAAAACACAACAAAAAATTAGATGATTCTAGTTCTTCTGGTGATATGTTAAAGTAGAATAAAAAGTATACTGCTTTTAAGATAAAAGTAAATAGCTAAAGTTTCTAATGTAATGATAATTGATTTTATATTCAAAATCAGTTACTACTAGAATAAAACAAATACAAAAAGTAGAGATACAAGTTCAAATTAAGGTTAAATGCCAATTTTTTTTTCAGTACTGAGGGTTGAACCCAGCACCTTGCACATGTTCAATAATTTCATAATTAAGCTATATCCTAGCCCTTTTCTTAAAACTATTTTTAAGACAGGATTTCAGGTAGCCCAGTCTGGCCTCAAACTTGCTCTGTAGCCGAGGATATAGCTTCTGAGCCTTCTCCTGTCTCAGTCTCCCAAAGGACTGGGATTACAGCATGTGCTACTGTGCCCCATTTTATTTACTACTCGGGATCAAATCCAAACTGCTACTTACTAGGAAAAGCACTCTGCCAACTGATCTGTATCACCAGCTTTTTTGGCGTGGTGGTGGAGTGTTTTTGTGGGGTATATGTGTATGTGTTTTGACCAAGTCTTGTTAGGTAGCACTGTCTGCCCTGGTACTTACTATATATGGCCCAGGATGTACTCAAATTTGCAGCAATCCTCCTGCCTCAGCCCCCTGACTACTGAGGTTATAGATGTGTGCCACCACACATAGCTTTACAAGTTGGTATTGACAATTACCAACTTGTTAGAACTCTGCTTAAGAATTCAGAATTTTTATACTGTTATCTCTCTAAATAGGGTCAGGTTTTTTTTTTTTTTAAGATTTTATTTATTTATTATGTATACAACATTCTGGTGGCATGTATATCTGCACGCCAGAAGAGGGCACCAGATCTCATTACGGATGATTGTGAGCCACCATGTGGTTGCTGGGAATTGATCTCAGGATCTCTGGAAGAGCAGTCAGTGTGCTTAACCTCTGAGCCATCTCTCCAGGCCCCTAGGGTCAGGTTTTCATTGTCTCATCTTGGCTAGTGTTAAGGCGAGGACCTCTTTTTTCTTTTTTCTTTTTTCTTTTTTTTTTTTTTGTTTTTTTGTTTTTTTGTTTTTTTTGAGACAGGGTTTCCCTGTGGCTTTGGAGGCTGTCCTGGAACTAGCTCTTGTAGACCAGGCTGGTCTCGAACTCACAGAGATCCACCTGCCTCTGCCTCCCGAGTGCTGGGATTAAAGGCATGTGCCACCACCGCCCGGCAGGACTTCTTTTAATGCATATTTCCTTCTAAGACTCATGGGCTAATAACTGTAGGCTAACTGTGTTATCTTATCTAAAAAGATTGGATTAATAAATCAAAGCATTCTTTTCAGTCATGTTGTACATACAGATCAGTGCAGAGTTACTGCTGATTCGTGGATCTTTTGGGCCTCAAGCCAGCCATGGTCTGGATTACCTAACTTTTGAATGTATAAATTACACATCTTTGTTTCATTTCATGTCTGGTAATCATAAACAGAGCTCTGATAAAATTACCTATATTTTGATGAGAGCAAACTCATTCCCTTGAGAAATTTATTGCTTTAGTTAACATGTGAGTGAAATCCTAATCTTCATACTATTTTGGACATTATCTGAACTTTATGGGAATTATGTTTGTCTTTCAAGTAACAGTCTTGTGGTTAGGGTATGGTGGAAGATCTGGATTCACTTATTAAGTGCTATTGTTAGGTCAGCATGCCTTTCAACACTGTGAATCTATAAAAGGTCAATAAGCAGTTTTAGATGTACATTCTCTAAAACATGGATTGTAAATACATAGGAAGAAATCAACCACCTTAAAGCAAGACAGATTGCACTACAGGATGAATTGCTCAGACTTCAGTCGACCACTCAGCCGGTGCATCCAGAGTCTGGCAGGGTGCCAGCAGCCACTGCATCGCCTCCATTCAGTTACAGCGTCAGTCATCATGTGTCAGCTTTCCATGAAGATGACATGGACTTTGGTGATGTGATTTCTTCACAACGAGAAATAAACCGATTATCAAATGAAGTTTCAAGACTTGAATCTGAACTTGGACACTGGAGACATATTGCCGAGGTTGGTAAAATCTGGATGAATTTGTGAAAACTATGGGTTAGTAAAAATGCTGGTATTATTTAGGCAGAGCATCTGGTACCATAAATAATTCTTGATTAGAAAAATAGAAAAGATGTATTTATCTTCTAATGCAGCATTTGGCTTTCTAAGTGGTTTTGGTTAAGTCATCTCTCAGCTTCAGTTGTCTTTTCTATGTGATATGTGGAATTTTTTAAAAATTAAAGCAATAAATTCACTTTCAAAAAAAAGTTATAAACCCAGACTCAAAAGATAAAAATTAAATTGAGCTAGCACCTCTGGAGTCTTTGGTAATGAAAGCACAGAGCTTTAAAACATTGATTTTGAAAATGTATTAGGATTTTGTCTGAGATTTTATAAGCTCTAATAACATGTAAAATAAAATTTTGATCCTTAGTATTAAAGATATGTTGTTATACTGAGCTGAAGAGATGGCTCAGTGCTTATAGCACTGGCTGCTCATCTTTCTAGCGGACCCAGATTTGAATCCCAGCACCCCCATGGCAGGTCACATCTTTCTGTAACTCCAAGGACCTCTGTGGGCACTGTATGCCTGTGGTGCACAGATCAGGCACAACACCTACACATAAAATAATCTTTAAAAATATATGTTAAATGTTGTGTGTTATGTTTAAAGCACTAGAAATTAGTTGCTGATATTTTGAATTATAAACTTTCCTCCAAGGAACTTTTATTCTGTATACCAAAGATTCTTTGTTATTGTTTCCCCCTTCCTTTTGAGGTGGGACTCTCACTATGTAGCCTTGGCTGCCCTGGAATTCACTTTGTAGAACTCATAGAGATTCCACCTGCCTCTGCCTCCCTAAGACTAGGAACAAAGGTGTTCACTACTATACCCAGCTATACCAAGATTATACATATTACAGAAGTTGTCAGTGGACAGTAAACATTTGGATTTAACTTCATTGATATAGGGGGGAAATATAGCATGCAAGTATACTTCAGTGTATTATAAAAAAGCCCAAAGCATATACGTCCTTTTATGGTTGTAATCAGGTTATGAAAAATCATCTCAATTAAAATTGTACTTCATGCTGTACTCAAAGGCTTAGCTGGGACTATCTTTGTCTATCTTATCTTTCCAAAGCCAGGAGATTTAAAATTTGTACGCAAAGAATAACCTGGAGACTTGATAATGGCATGAATTTCCTTTGTGTTTGGAGACTTTGGTTTAATATCTATTTTAGGGTCTTAGTAACTTCAGAGAAGTGCCAGGAAATTGTGATAATCTGAGAATCACAATTAGATTTTTTTAAACCATATTTATTTATGTGTGTGGGGTAAAGAGGGGTTACATGCACACACATGCATGTCAGAGGACAACTCATGAGAGTCAGTTCTCGCCTTTTTCCATGTGAGTCCTAGGATTGAGTTTAGGTCAGCTGTCTTAGTGGCAAGTGTTTTACCTGTTGAGCCATCTTGACAGCATGGTACACACCTGTAGTTTCAGCATTTGGGAGCTGAAGCAGGAGAATTTGGAGTTTAACACCAGCTTACATAGCAAGATCTTGTCTAAAAAAAAACCAAAACAACCAGGAAAACAAGTAAAAGAGCATGGTTAGGTTAAGGTTTAATAGGGAAGAAATTACTCTTTTGGGATTTTTTGTTTCTTTGTTTGTTTTTTTGTTTTGGTGTGTGTGCGTGTATTTGACATGTCTTGAATGTTTAGTATATGGAAGATAAAAACTAGACTATAAAGATAGAAAAGGCATAATTGGAACCTTTCAGCAAGGCTCATTTCCTAGTTAAGACAAAAAAAATCGTTGTTTGTATTACACTTTAAATGTTTCTATGTATTACCCCAATATATATTATTATCCTTACCATGTGAGGCATTTATTATTTTTGTTTTATAGATAAGAAAGTTATTACTATAAACAATATTCCCATTGTCAGAGGGATTAATTTACACACACATATCTTGAGTATTAAAATGAGAGCCACTGCATACTAGGCAAGTGCTGTAGAGCTGCTCTATACTGTGTGTGTGTGTATGTGTGTGTGTGTGTGTTGTATGTGTGTGTCCATCCCAGACCTCCTATGTTGCCCAAGCTGGCATTAGCTTGCCATCATCTTTTCTTAACCTCTTTATCTAGCTGAGGTTGTTGGTGTGCACCACTCACTTGCTCAGATAGACATCTCTTGACTGGAGCTTTGGAGTCTTACTTACCATTATATATTCTTTCAATCCTAGAACAGCTTTGGTCAGTAACATGTCATATAATAAGTCTTAACAATGGGTACTAGAATGAATGGGTACTAGCAGTTTTGGTTGGGTAATGGAGCAGGGTGGTGGACAGATGTTGATCAAATACAAAATTGCCTGTACATGAGAGAGATAAGTTGTGGTGTTGTCTGTATATTAGGGTAACTATGGAAGAGGATTTGGATGTTGTCACTGCAATAAACACTTGAGATAATGAGTCTAACATCATCATCTATGCTTTGAACATAGCCTAGTATGTGCATGAATTGAAACACCACAGTACACCTCACACATACGCAGAATTGCTAGATATCAGTTAAATTAGAAGATTATGAACAGTATATAAAATTTTAAAATTTAACTGTGTGTGTGCATATATGTGTGCATGTGAGTGCAGATACCTATGAAGACCAGAGGCACACCCTGGTACTTGAGTTTACAGGCAGCTCTGGACTGCCTGACACAGATGCTGGGAATTGGATGCACGTCCTAGAAGCACCGTACATATTCTTAACAACTAAGCCATCTCTCCAGCCTTGACAGTATATAGTATACAGTATGGAAAGGAATCTGAAAAGTTTTTGCTCAAGCCAAAGATTTGGTCAAACAAAGATTATTCTGTAATTACCTTATGGGTAAAATCATTTTAATTTTATTTTGTTTGAGATAGCATCTCATGTCACCCAGGCTGGTCTCAAACTTGTGTGTAGTCAAAGATGATCTTGAACTTCTGATCCTCCTGGCCCAAATGTTGGTATTACAGGTTTTGTACATTGCTAGAGCTCATACTCAGGAGCTCCTAAATGCTAATCACTCTACTAATGGAGCTGCATCCTCAGCCTTTTATAAAAGCATGCTTATTTATTTTTGTTTTTGTTTTGAAACACTATGAAGCTCTCGCTCTTCTGCAACTCACTGTGTAGACCAGGCTGGCTTCGAACTCATAAAAATCCACCTGCTTCTTGCCTCTCAAGTTCTGGGATTAAAAGTATACACCACTATGCCAGGCATAAGATTATTTTAAAAAGACTTTTACTGGCATTGATATTGGGTAACTTTTTATCATCTTAGAAAGCTATTCAGTTATCCTCATATTCATATTTTGGTTAGCTAGTAAAATATTCTATTTTTCCATATAAACTTTATTTTGTAAAGCTATTATCACCTCACTTAGTTAAGTTCTTGACTATAGTGTCTTTTGTTTATTATGTACCAATGGACTAAAGACTTAGAACAGTATATGGCGTTCTTAATCAGAGTATGTCTGGGAAATGCTCTTGTTCTACAAAGCAAGAACATTTTAATAGTTAATTTGTGAGTTTTTGTTTTACAGAAAAAATCAGTGTAATTATTTTTTAATTCTTTTCTTTCTAAACTAAGGTTCGGGGAACACAAAGCTCTGATCAAACAGAAATTTGCAAGCTGCAGAATATAATTAAGGTAAAATCAAAGTGTTGATTACCAATGTCTTTTTTTTCTTTCTTTCTTTTTTTAAATTTATTTATTTATGTTTTTGGCTTTCCAAGAAAGGGTTTCTCTGTGTAGCTTTAGAGCCTGTCCTAGTGGTAACTAGACCAGGCTGACCTCAGACTCACAGAGATCTGCTGCCTCTGTCTCCTAAGAGCTGCGACTAAAGGCGTATGCCACCACTGCCCGGCACCAATGTCTTCTATGCATCTAGCATCTGTAAATTAAAGATATAAACCAAATTAGTAAGGCTCTTAATTAAAATTAATTATATAGATGATGATACTTGATTGTTTTATTCTTTTCAACTAAGTACATTTGGTTTTAAATGTTTTCTTGGTAATCCTAAATCTGTGTTTTTCTGTTCCTCCTATTCCGAGGTTATGGCATTTTAAGAATTTGATCTTAAAGAATATTGACTAGGGCTGGAGAGATGACTCAGAGGTTAAGAGCACTGGCTGCTCTTCCAGAGGTCCTGAGTTCAATTCCCAGCAACCACAAGGTGGCTCACAACCATCTATAATGAGATCTGGTGCCCTCTTCTGGCCTGCAGGCATACATGTAGGCAGAACACTGTATACATGATAAATAAAACTTAAAAATAAAAAAGAACCTGTCTCTTCTAAACAAAAACCAAAAACAGCAACAAAAAGAATATTGACTAAAATGTTAACATTCACTATTTTACATCAGTGATAGAATTTTGCTGGTTCTTGTCAGTTATTTCTTTTATGAGAAAAGTCTTGGTTATATATATTCATCATGGCAGTGGGTTGTTTTTAACTGTAGTCAGGTACAGAACTGTTAGCCTTGGCTTACTGTTATATTACAAGTACAGGTAGATACCAGAATCAGATCTGTGTGAATCCTGGCTGTACCCACTATCAGCTGTGCTGTTGGTCATGTTATATAACCTTTCCCAGAGTCTGTTTTCTATCAGTCATAACACTTGTCTTAGATGGTTGTTCAGAGGTGTCAGTGCAAAGATCAGTACTGGTACATAGCTGCGTAGGATTCCAGAATTATTTTCTTCTCAGGAAGTAGCTGCTACTTATTATCAGGTCCTTGGTGATACACAAGAACCTTTTCTGGCTCAGTAAAGCAAAAGATTTACTGGCTGGACCCAGAGTAGTCTGTCAGGAGGACAGGATGGGAACAGCTCTGTGACCCTCTCAGAACCCCCGAGCCAGACTTAAAGATGTAGCTCCCAATGGTGCTTCTCCAGATCAGGACCTGGGAGGTTCATCAACTTGGGTGGAGGCACTGCTCTGGCAGTTAGGGAGTTCAAGACTGACAGAAGGATGTTTGTGCAAGAGAATAGCAGCAGAAGGAAAACTTGTGGCTTGAAGAACTCAGATGTGTTAGAGCAACGTTGCTTGTCTCACAGACTAGATGCTGTAACTAAGCGATACATCCAGCACTCTAAAACTAGGCTGTGCTGTAAGCATGGACTGCATTCCACAGAGCGAGAATGAGACTGGCAGTGCTCATAGCCAGAGGTTTGCAGTGACCCCACTGCTCTCACAATCCAAGATGAGCTAAAGAGCTGAATGTGGCTATATGCACCTGGAATCCCAGCACTCAGAGGCAGAGGCAGGTGGATCTCTGAGTTCAAGGCCAGCCTGGTCAACAAAGCTTCACAGAGAAATCCTGTCTTGAAAAATAAATAAAATAAAATAATAAAAAAAGGAAAAGTTATTCTTGGCCATGATTATAAAGGAAAAGATGTTTTACTATGTTTTGTTTCATTGTGTTCTTGATGTTTCCCCATTACAAATAAGACATTTTAAAATCCTAAGAAGGCATGGATCTGTCAGAATTGTCCTAATTTGGGGACTGTGGTTGAATGCTTCTCAGCTTTAATATGCTCAGATAATTAATTTTAATAATACAAACTTTGGGGCTGGAGAGATGGCTCAGCGGTTAAGAGTACTGATTGTTCTTCTAGAGGACCCGGGTTCAATTCCCAGCACCCATATGGCAGCTTACAACTGTCTGTAGCTCTTGTTGTAGGGAATCTAACACTTCACCCCACTGCACATAAAATAAAGGTTAAATAAATAATTATAAAAAAAGAAAAAAATAATACAAACTTTAGACAGCAGTGAGATGAATCACTTTTTACTTGATTATTTATTGATCATACATGGGGTTATATTTGTTCTTCTTTTTTTTTTTTTTTTTTAAGGAACTTAAGCAGAATCGAAGTCAGGAAATTGATGACCATCAGCATGAAATGTCAGTATTGCAGAATGCGCATCAACAGAAACTGACAGAGATAAGTCGTCGGCATCGAGAGGAGCTAAGGGACTATGAAGAGCGAATTGAAGAACTGGAAAACCTGTTACAGCAAGGTTATGAGTTTACTAACTCACAGATTACATGACACTGTTGAATAGCAAACCTTAGACAATTCATAGATCAGAATATCCGAATACTGTTGTACACTTAGACCAAGTTCTGTGGCCTAAGAAGTGACTCATTTTGCTTATTGCTAAGTCTGCAGTAATGACATAGCTTTCTGGGTCTTCAGACATGGAAATGCTTTCTGCACTTCTGTAATGGATTGCTCTGCATTGTTTGATGGCACTACAGCAGAAAAATAGAGATATTTTCACTTTGTTTCAAACTCAAATATGTAGACTTTTTAGTAGTTGGTTCAAATGAAGTATTGACTTTCTATTTATTTAAAATTGTAAGATAGTAATTTGACTTTTTAAGTGGTCCAAGTTCTGTACTGTCTTTAGTCTTTATATTGTATGTAGCATGCAATTTACTTTTTAGAACTTGACATTTGATTTCTCTTGTTTTGTTTATTTGATGTTTTAGGTGGCTCAGGAGTTACAGTAACTGATCATTCTAAAATGTATGATATGCAAAACACTATTCAGATTCTACAGATGGAAAAAGTAGAATCTGCCAAAAAAATTGAAGAACTTGAGGATAAAATGAAAGAGATATATAAAAGATTGTCTTCTGCAGAGCATGATCGAGCAGTTTGGAAGAGAGAACAGGAACAACTGGAGGTGGAAAAGAGACAGATGACTGAGCAGTGTGAGCGCTTGAAACTGGAATGCAGCAAATTGCAGCCTCTTGCTCTGGGGCAGAGGGACGTTGTGACAGAGGAGGAGAGGACTCTCCCACAGAGTTCCTCAGTTGCAGAGGTCTTGAGATTACAGCAAGCTTTGACTGGTATAAAATGTTTGGAACTTACATTGGTGTTGCTTGTCACACTAGGTTTTTTTAAGTCAAGCACTTTTAACTGCATATTCTATGGAAATGGAGTGTTTATGGAAATGACTTTGTCATTTGAGTAGAATTGTGGAGTTTGGATTCAGCACCAAATAGGAATTGTCTCCTAATAAGGGTTAAGGATTAGCAGGATGTTTCTCAGCTTTCCTTCCTTATTCTCTTAGGTGTTTACGTGGAAGTCAGTGATTTAGGAAGCCAGATAGATTTCTGAGAAATGTTTATGGGCATAGGAATTGTGTTCATGGGTATTTGCAATGTAGACTAATGTAACTAATCAGAGCCCAGACTCTCCAGTTAGAGAATGTAGCATTTCATCAGCAAAAATTCATTGTTATCCTTTGAAGCAAACGCTTGAGTGATAGGAGCCATAGATAGTCTTATTATTTTCCATGCTCCAACTGATACTTAGAATTTTAAATACTAGTACAAAAAATTAGTATTAAAAGAAATAGGCAAAACACCAGTATTCATACACAGCAAGAAAATAGTTGGAGGGAACTCTTCAGCTGAAAATATGCATTTTATTTTGCATTTTGTCCTGTTTTAGTATAAGCTCTATTTGAACTCGTTCACCCCTGATCTGAGAATTTCCAGCTCTTGTGTGCTTGTGAACACCTATATCTCTCTGTCCCCCATGCCACTCCTGACCTGAATGGCCAAATCTACATATAATATGGATTTTCAGTCTAAAATTAATTAAACGTAAGAGCATCTTCTCCTCTCCCTCATATTCCTTCCCCAGCCTTTGGGAAGCAAATTCTAGAAGTCAACCTTGACCAAGTCTTGTGGTTTTTGTTTCCTTGATTTTTTTTTTTCCCCCTGTGTGAGTGATATTTCAGGATTGCTTACCAAAAACTAGGGTTTCTTGAGCGCATCAGCACTGGGAGCTTCCACTTGGGCAAAGGGAAGGCAGTTCAGTGGGGATCTGAACCCCCAAATAGCTCTACTCATTTGTAAAATAAGTGTATTATATAGAGTGAGACACTTAAGTGTCTAACAGTAGGGCCATTATCCTAGTCCTTCCTCGTTTCCCATTTTTATAGCCATGGACTTACTGTCATAATTATTGATTGCCCAAGTTAACTGATCAGTCAGATCTCTTAATGGGGTAAGTTGAAAAATGGTTAAGAACAAGAGGATTTGGGCCTGGAGAGAGCTCATTTGTTAAGAGTGCTTGCTGCACAGTCATGAGAACCAGCCTTTGGATCACAGCATCCATGTGTCAAGCTGAGCACCTGTGTGTACCTGTGACTTCATCTCTGAGGGAGTGGAAACAGGAGGAGTGCTATACTAGCCTGGCCTGGAAAACAGGAGTCCCGGGTGCAGGAAGAGACCCTGCTTCAAGGAACTGCTAGATAGATGAAGAGGGACAGAGGAGGAAATACAGCACCCTCTTTTGACGTGTGAACAAGCACACAGATGCATTCACACAAGCAATTAAGCTTTAACAAAGCAAAGACTGGTCAGTATTATTTTCCTTGTAGGACTGGAGTAGTCTGTGGGCTATGTGAGTTGCTGTCTGCAGGCTTTCCTTTTGAACAGCATCTGGTCCAAAGTGAGTGTTAGAAAGTGTTGGCTTTTTATTCTCTGCTCTCTGTTATTCCTCATTCCATTTTTTCCCCTTCTATTCTGAAGCGAGAATAAATTTTTAGAAATGCAAAGCCAGTTAGGCCCCTATTTTCTAGTACTTTATGACTTTCTGGGAACTTGAAGAAGAAATCTGAACTTGTACACATCATGTCTGTTCATCTGGTCCCTTTCTGCTCCCTCAGTTTATTCCTGTCACTCAGCTTTGTAAAACTTAGCCATAAAGAACTCTATAGTTCCTTCAGCCAGTCTCTAGCTCTTTCTCCGTTGTATTTACTGCATTGTCTAGGCGGAGTGTTCCTATTTTTCCTTTGACCAACTGATAGTACATTGACTCCTTGAGGTTTTACCTTCACTAAGGAGGAGAACTGCACTGCTACATCCTGGGCCCTTTGTTCCCACCCGGTTTGGACTAGATGTTTGCCGTTTTTGCCCTCACAATGCCTGTGCTTACTGTATCACACTGTATTGTAATCATTGTTTACTTGTTTCTATCACAATTCTATTCTGAATTGTAAGCTCATAAAGAGCAAGAACTGAATTTTTCTGTCTTCTTGTCTGACACTGGCTTTGTCATAAATGCTCAGTTGTCCTAAAATGAGCATTAAATGAATTGCTTCAGCTGATCTCCTGATATTCTGTCTTTGGATTCCTTTTCCAGAACCTTTTTCTTTATGAATCTATATATAGTACATTCATTTCTAAGTCACTTTAGATATGTGAGAGAGAATTATACTGTTACAGCTTAAGTTTTTATTGCTTTCCAAGTTTTTCATTTAAATAGCAGTCTTAGACCTGATAATGTTTCTGGCTATTTAAACCAATGGATTATATTTTGAAATGTATTGTTACTACTTTTACCAGAACAGTAACTTAATACCTTATCCAGAGCACAGTGATAATTCTTACACTCTTCCAAAGCATTGGATTTTATCATGGTTTTATTTCAAATTGTCAACATGCTTGCTAGTTATAAATATACTTTAATAGGCTGCACCTATGAGTTTAATGTGAGAAGTAATTATTAAAATATTTTAAGTAATGTCAGGTTCATTTATTGTTTTTACAGATGCTGAAAATGAAATAATGAGACTAAGTAGTTTAAACCAGGTAACTTATTGTTATGTGAGAAAGTTTTGGGCATTATTTTACTAAGAGAGTATTGATTCATTGTTTTTGCTTATTTTTTGTTTTTTCACAAATTCATGTAAATTTACCTTAGGAAGTTTCAGTAATCTTTGCTTAACAATCAATAACAGAGTTTTTGCATTATGAATTGATATGTTTGGTGTGTAATTGGTAAAAGGTATATTATTGCAGAGTAACTTGAAAATACAGACAGGAACCAGATCCTATATCAAAGTAAGGGGTGCATTTTGATTTTCCTTAAAGAATTCAAAGTTTTTTTTTTTTAATGTGTGTGTGTGTGTGTGTGTGTGTGTGTGTGTGTGTACACGCATGTATGTAGGTTAGAGGATAATTGTATAGAGTCTTTTCTTTCCTTCCAACTTTACATGGGTTCCTGATATCAAACTAAGATTGACAGCTTTGCACAGCAAGTGCCTTTACTTGCTAAGCCATTTCGCCGGCCCTTGTGTATTAATTACAAGTTACTTTGTAAAATACACTTTTATATTTTTTAAATATAATAAATAAATACTCTATAAGAATGTCTAAAATGAGCGACTGATTCTAAACTGTCCAACAGTGAATTTTAATCTTTATGTTGCTAAGAATATTCTGAGTATAATTGTACAAATTATGTAACTAGACTGTTTTCTTGTAAACTGGAAATTCTCTGTTATCTGAAAATACTACTTTAACATTTTTATAGGATAACAGTCTTGCTGAAGACAATCAGAAACTTCAAATGTGTGTCCAAATTTTAGAAAAAGAGAAGTCATTATTGAGTCAAGAAAAGGTAGGTGCTGTTGAAATGGGGTAGAATTAAAAAGGTGTGTGTCATAAGTCACAGCTAAGGATGAGTTTATATCAGTGGAATGCGTAGTGATAGAGTCCTCAGAATAAGTCTGAGCTCATTGGTATGCTCACCAAGCCAGGTTGGAGTAGCTGGGCAAGGTTCACAGTGTGAGAGGCTGGCCAGTGTGTATGTGCAAACACAAACCAGTAGGCATACAGATCTGAGCAGAAGAGATGTGATTCCGATGGGGCTCTGACAGCAGCACATACGGTAGGGGAGATGTTTGGCTGATGTGCCCTAGAATGTCTGTTGTAGTAGGTAAGAATTTCTTATTGGTGAACAGTGGAAGAGAGAGAGTTTTGCTATTAGAAGTGGATTTATTTTTATTTTTATTTTATTTTTATTTAGCAAAGATGGAATAGAGTGCTATGGTAACACTTTGGTATAGGGAAGAGCATTATGTTTGTGTCTCTGGGAATTAATTTCTTATCAATGACAGATACTTTGATAAAGGTAGCTAGGAATTAAGTTAAAGGTCACCATTTGAACTCAATTTATCTGAATTCTTTAAAGTACTATGCATTTATGGATGAAAATATTTAGTAATACATACTGAAAATCTTCATGCCTTTGCTACATGGCCTCTCACCCAAAGACTGTATTACAGTTCCTAGAATCCTGCTTTTCCTGGGTCTATCAATACATGCCTGGCTCTGCATGGATATCCTTAAGAAATAGCAGTGTCAGCATGCTACATATGCTGTTCTTATGTCCCCTAGCACTTCACTTTCAGTTTCCTTCTGCATCAGTACATAGGCAGTATTCTTGGAGAGGCATGGTGGGTTTTCAACCCTAAGTTGTTTGTGTACAGCCCTGGACGTTGAGATCTTCGCTGCCATTCTTTCCCCAGATGTTGGCAGTGACTCACTGTCACTCTGCAAAGTGCTGTGTATGTGTGTGCTGCTTCTGGCTCTGCCCCACTGAGTCCTCTTCTTTAGCTTACTGGCCTAAATACATTTTTGCCTCTGTAGGCCTCTCTTCACAAGTCCTGTATGTAGGGTCTGCCAATTTTCCTTATATTTCCAATTTTCTGGTAACTGTTTTTCTTTCTTTTGATGGTTAGTATTCACTGTAACTCTTCACTGAATTGTATTTGTTTCCCAAGTAATAATGCCAGATGTGCTCTTAGATCAGTCTGAAAATGCTCTTTTTCGTTTTCCTAAATGGACAGATAACTTTAAAAAGATTTATGGACATGCTGTTTTCTTCCTTTTTTCTTCCTTTGCTTTCTTTCCCTCCCCCCCCCCCCTTTTTTTTTACAAGTTATTCTTATTTTATGAGTGTTTTGCCTGTGTATGGACCACATGCATGCCTGTTGTCTGTCTAGGCCAAAAACTAGATCAGATTCCTTGGAACTACAGTTACAGGCTGTTGTGAGCTGCATGTGGGTATTAGGAACCAATCTTGAGTCCTCCATAAGAGCAAGGGCTCTTAACTGCTAAGCCCCTTCACCCTCCTTTTCTTATTGTGTTTTGAGGAAAGGTCTCACTCTGTATCTTAGACTTAGCTTTCCTGTGTTCACTAGACAGCCTCCGGCTGGCCTCAGATTTCTAGCAGTCCCCCTGCTTCAGCCCCACAAGTACTGGGATGGCAGGCATGAGCCCCACACCTGGCTCCATCCTTCAAGGACAGTTCAGAATAAGCATTTGGATTGGAAGGAAATGAGAAAGAGATGGTAGAGATTCTCATACAGTTTTGTGTAGACCTCTTTTATATGGGACTGTTAGGTTCTTTAAAGGAAGTTGATACTATTTATTTCAAAGTATATCCCATAGAAATTCGATTTTAAGAAAGCACTGGGAGAAGAAGGCTTTTTATATACCTTATAACAGAGAAAATGATGTTGAATCATAGAGAACTGTTTAACTTCTTAGGTTTTTAGAAAATGTTATTTCATAATAGACTATTAAATACATGTGTGGGTCTGTTTTTAGTAATGTTGGGTTTGTGAGAGGGGAGCCTGGTCTTGTTCAGAAAGAAGATAAAGGGAGCAGGGTCATTCTTTAATTAAGAGATGGTTTTGTATTCCAATATAATCAAAAAATAAGTAAGTCGTTTTAATGAGAAAAATGGGCCTTTTATTTTCTAATTAGAGCAAATAGTTTGAATGAGTACTGATTTTTTTTTTCACTTTTACTTAATCTGGCTGAGTGTTAGGGAGTGAAATGAAGAGAGCTGGAAGGTTGGGGGCTTTTATTAGGAGTGTGTTTGGTAGGTATAGGATAAAGCTAGTAGCTATGGGAACAGAATAGAAAAGGCTCTGCCCTGGGACTGGTCCTCTGCAGAGGACCTCTAAAGAGAAGGTAGGGCTAGAAGGTGAACGCACAGTCGTAGAAATGTTCTGCTTGGAACTGTAAGTAAAACTGTGCATGACTGAAAGCTGTGGCTTGTTCAGTAATGTTCCCAATGCAAAGGGTTTAAAATAGATCCTCCAGTTATGTTTGTTTATGTCTGCTTGCTTATTCTTCTTCTGTCTCTTCTTGAATGATGATATGTGCTGCTTCCCCTGTCCCCTTGTTGTTGAAGGAAGAACTTCAGATATCACTTTCCAAACTGAGCAATGAATATGAAGTCATTAAAAGTACAGCTACAAGGGACATAGATTTGTTGTCTCAAGTACGTGACTTGAAACTTAACTTGGAGGTGAAGGAACAAGAACTGAATCAGAGTATTCATGAAAATGAAATACTCACGGCTGAATTAGAAGAACTGGACAAGCAGAACCAAGAGGCTACTAAGGTAACCCTGCATTAAATATGATGAAGCGTTGGGGACATTTTCATGAGGAGCACACTCCAGCCTCTCATCTGGGTACTGAACTAACACAGACAGGGATATAACTTTGTCTTCAAAGTGCTAGTTAGTAAAATATGTTTTAAATTGTGAGAACATATCTCAGTTGCAGCCGTTCAACTCGCTGAGTTTGGATATGTAAACAAGCAAGCATGGCTTTGCTTTGGTAAACTGTGTACAGAGACAGGTAGCCGCTGTGGATTGCTGTTTGTGGAAGCCTGCTCTGGGGATTTAAAAGTTAGAAACAGAACATGTGTAATTAGCCTTTTTTGATTTTAGATTCTTACTCTTAAAATGATAAACTTTTTGTAAATTTTTTTGTGAGACATAGTGGGATAGAAAGTTTTTTTTTTTAAAGAATTTATTTATGTATTTATTATGTATACAACATTCTGCTTCCATGTATATCTGCACACCCGTAGAGGGCACCAGATCTTATAACGTATGGTTGTGAGCCACCGTGTGGTTGCTGGGAATTCAACTCAGGAACTCTGGAAGAGCAGTCAGTGCTCTTAACCTCTGAGCCATCTCTCCAGCCATAGAAAGTTATTTTTGAAGAAGGTTTATAAATATTCTTATTATTATTTTTATTATTATTATTTTGGTTTTTCGAGACAGGGTTTCTCTGTGGCTTTGGAGGCTGTCCTGGAACTAGCTCTTGTAGACCAGGCTGGTCTCAAACTCAGAGATCCACTTGCCTCTGCCTCCTGAGTGCTGGAATTAAAGGCGTGCGCCACCACCGCCTGGCTATATTCAGATCTTTATTATATGATATGAAAATTTACAGAATTTTCTTTAGATACTAACATGGGAAAATGTCACAAAGTTACTTTGTAATTCACTTTTTCTTTCAGCATGTGATTTTGATAAAAGATCAGCTATCAAAACAACAAAGTGAAGGAGATAGTACCATCAAGAAACTAAAAGAAGATCTAAATGATGAAAAGCAGAGAAGCCATCACCTCGAGGATGATAAAATGAACATTATCAAAGAGTTAGACTTGCAGAAAGAAAAGCTAACTCACAGTGAACAGGCCCTAAGTGATTTACAGTTAACCAAGCAGAAGCTTGAAGATAAAGTAGAAGATTTAGTAGATCAGCTGAATAAATCAGAGAAAAATAATTTCAGCATCCAGAAGGAGAACCAGGAACTGAGGGAACACATCAGACAAAATGAGGAAGAGCTGTCCACAGTGAGAAGTGAATTGATTCGCTCTCAGACCCAAGACTCTAACAGTCAGCTGAAGGATGACTTACTTCAGGAAAGGGAAGCTGAAGTCAGAAACTTAAAGCAGAGTCTTTCCGAAATAGAACAGCTCAATGAACATTTGAAGCAAGTTGCTTTTGATCTCAGAACAGAAAATGAAAAGCTGGTTGTAGCCTGTGAGGATGTAAGAAATCAGTTGGAAGAATCTATTGCTGGCAACAACCAGGTTTCTCTGGAAAAAACTGCCATGCTGGAGACACTCAGATGGGAAAAGGAGCAGCTAGAAACAGAATTGTGTGGTGCTGAGAAGAGGCTTTTGGAAGAAGCAAACAAATACAAGCAAACTATTGAGGAACTGTCCAGCGCACGCAGCCTGAGTACCTCTGCCTTACAGCTGGAACATGAGCACTTAATTCAACTCAGTCAAGAAAAAGACTCTGAGATATCAGGGCTCAAAAAAAGTATTGAGCAAATGGCTACTGATCATCAACAAATGAAGGAAACTTTGTCGTCTAGTTTAGAAGAGCAGAAACGATTGACACAACTTATAAATGAAAAAGAAATTTGTATTGTGAAACTTAAAGAAAAAAGTTCAGAACTGCAGGAGGAATTGGACAAATGTGCTGAGGCCTTAAGAAAAAATGAGACTCTAAGGCAGACCATAGAGGAAAAAGATAGAAGTCTTGGATCCATGAAAGAAGAGAATAATCACTTGCAAGAAGAGCTGGAGCGGCTCAGAGAGCAGCAGAGTCGGGCTGTGCCCGTGCCTGAGCCTAGAACCCTTGACAGCACCACAGAGCTAGAGTCTGAGCTGTCTAGGCTGCACATAATCAAAGATCATCTGGAAGAAGAAATTAAACATCATCAAAAGATGATTGAAGATCAAAATCAGAATAAGATGCAGCTTCTCCAGTCTCTACAGGAACAGAAGAAAGAAATGGATGAGTTTAGGTACCAGCATGAACAAATGAATATCACACACAGCCAGCTCTTTTTAGAAAAAGATGAGGAAATTAAGAACTTGCAAAAAACAATTGAACAAATAAAAGCCCAATTGCATGAAGAAAGACGGGACATTCCAACAGAGAATTCTGATATTTTTCAAGAAACAAAAGTTCAGAGCCTTAGTATAGAAAATGAAAGTGAAAAGCATGATTTATCTAAAGCTGAAACGGAAAGGTTGGTGAAGGGGATAAAAGAACGGGAGCTGGAGATTAAGCTTCTGAATGAAAAGAATATCTCTTTAACTAAACAGATTGATCAGTTGTCCAAAGATGAGGTCGGCAAGCTCACTCAGATTATCCAGCAGAAAGACTTGGAGATCCAAGCTCTTCATGCCAGGATTTCCTCGGCTTCCTGCTCTCAGGATGTTGTGTACCTCCAGCAGCAGCTGCACGCCTATGCTATGGAAAGAGAAAAAGTAATGGTTGTCTTAAGTGAGAAGACCAGGGAAAATAGCCAGCTAAAAACAGAGTACCACAAGATGATAGATATTATTAGTGCCAAAGAAGCAGCCCTTATTAAGTTGCAAGATGAGAATAAAAAAATGTCCACTAGATTTGAAAGTAGTGGCCAAGATATGTTTAAAGAAACTATTCAGAATTTATCACGGATTATTCGAGAAAAAGACATTGAAATAGATGCACTGAGTCAGAAGTGCCAGACCCTGCTGACAGTTTTGCAGACTTCTGGCACAGGTAGCGAGGTTGGAGGAGTTAATAGTAACCAGTTTGAGGAACTCTTACAGGAACGTGATAAACTAAAACAGCAAGTGAAGAAAATGGAAGAGTGGAAACAACAGGTGATGACCACTGTCCAAAATATGCAACACGAGTCAGCCCAGCTTCAAGAAGAACTTCATCAACTTCAGGCACAAGTTTTGGTTGACAGTGATAACAATTCTAAATTACAAGTGGACTATACTGGCTTAATCCAAAGTTATGAGCAGAACGAAACCAAACTTAAGAATTTTGGGCAGGAACTGGCACAAGTTCAGCATAGCATAGGGCAGCTTTGTAACACCAAGGACCTTCTTTTAGGGAAACTTGACATCATGTCACCCCAGCTCTCTTGTGGCTCATCACTTACCACTCAATCAGGAGAGCCTCTTAAGACAAGCCAGTCTACTGGCCCATGTGAGTCTTCTCAGTTGCTTCAACAAGAAGTGGATGATCTGAGGCGATCACTGCAGGAAAAAGATGCCATGATTAAAACACTCCAGGAAAACAACCACAGACTGTCAGAGTCCATAGCTGCATCCTCAGAGGCAGGAAGAAGAGAACACGAGCAGACTGATTCGGAAATGAAGCAGCTGAAGGAGAAACAAGAGGCTTTACAAAACTTACTTAAGGAAAAAGACCTCTTAATCAAAGCCAAGAGTGACCAGTTACATTCTTCAAATGAGAATTTCACGAACAAAGTGAATGAAAATGAGCTTTTGAGGCAGGCAGTGACAAATTTGAAGGAGAGAATATTGATTTTAGAAATGGACATTTCTAAATTGAAAGGGGAAAATGAAAAAATAGTAGAAACCTCCAGGGGGAAGGAAACAGAATACCAGGCGTTACAAGAGACCAACATGAAGTTTTCCATGATGTTACGAGAAAAAGAATTTGAATGCCATTCTATGAGAGAGAAAGCACTTGCTTTTGAACAGCTATTGAAAGAAAAAGAACAGGTATGTTCTCGGTGGAGTATGTAGAAAAATGTTGAGGACAAAGGAGCCTTTTTACTGTTATTTTATTGATGCTATTTCTGAGGAAGACTAAACTTGCTCACTTTGGAATATTTATTTGAAGGTATTTTGGTTCATGTACAGTTTCTTCACCCCCAAATTACTAGATATTTTCAAATATTTTTAGTAGTAGATTAATCCTTCATAACCTCCTAAGTATAAAACAGATTTAATAGGAGTGATTCCTCAGGGCAGTTCTTCGGAAGATGGTAGAGCTCAAACCCAGGACCTCTGCACTAGGTAAGTATTCTACTTTTTTTGCTGGCCTCGAACTCACAGAGATCTGCCTCCCAAGTGCTGGGATAAAAGGCATGAGCCACAACCACCTGGCATGGCAAGCATTCAATTTAGAAGCTATTTCCTCAGCTGACCAGAGGTCACTTTAATCACATTTTGGCATATTTCAATAGCTTCTAGAAATGGTCAACATTTTAGAGACTCCTGGATGAAAAAGAAGTACTAAGAGATATCTTTGACCATGAACTACAGTAAGAATACTTTTTATAATGTCTATATATATTTGTGTATGTATGAGAGAAACTGAAAAGTTTCAGAAACTACAAATTATCCATGTAATGTGGTAAACTATTAGAAAAAAATATGCTGAATGAGCCATTCAATTGATTTCATATACTGTTTATTTATTTGTTGTGTGTATGTGCTTCTGGCAGAGTGGACTTGTGTAAGTCAGAGAGTATCTTTTGAGGGTCGCTTCTTTCTCCACCCTCTGAGTTCCTTGGCTCAAACTCAAGTCATTGGGCTTAGCCTCTTTTCCCCATGAACCATCTTGCTGGCCCCGAATTGACTCTAATGGATCAGTCCACAGTTTGAAACATGTTTGGAGTAGTTCCTTAGACAGAATAGGCTCTTGTCAATACCCTAGTACCAGCTCTGTTGCTTCTAGAACTTTGAGTATCTTTTGATCATGTTGGTTTGTTTATTCACTCTTAAAATGGAGGGCCATAGCAGTTCAATGTAAAGTGCCAGTAGCTTTTGATGTGTTCAGTGGCTTACATGCTCACTCTAAGCTCCTCCAGTGAGCTTGTTTTAGTGGCTATTGTACATGTTTGGTATGGTAAGAACTACTGAAGATTTGTTATGGTCTGGTTAATACTGTAGCTTGCCTTTGGCATTAATATTTTAGTGTGAGTTCTGCACTTTGGTAGTAGAAATTTGGTAAGGGGATGATAGGCAGAACAAGGCAATATTCAACAACAGTTATTTTTTCTCCCTTCTTTTAGTAATGCTGGGGATTGAACCTAGGGCCTCATGCTTAATAGGGAGGCACTGTGCCACTGAGTTATATCCCAGCCCAGCATCTGCTTCTTGAATATGTATCTGCTGCTAGGCACAGGATTCAAAATGTTACATTCTCCTGTAAGAGTCATGTATTATCTGATTAAAGGTACATGGTTTGGCTAGGCTCAGCAGTCCACATAATCCTAGCATTTGTGAGATGGAGGCAGGAGGATCAGGAGATAGCCTTGACTTTATGAAACTAGCCTGGGTCTTTCAGAGATCTCAGCTTTAATGGTAGTGGCCTGTGCCAGTCTAATTTGTTTAAAAGGTCTTAGAGCATGGACCTTCCCACTGTTCTCTGACAATGGGTGTAGTATTTTATGGTTCAAAGAGCATAACTGGGAAGTGGGACAGTGAAATACCTTGTTATACTGTATGTGCTTTTATGCAAGTTTAGTATTTGGTGCCATTTCCTTCTATTGTATTGACACCTATAGATCTAAATTATGCAGATTTTATTGAAGATTTACCTTGTCTTAGGGTTTCTGTTGTTGTGAAGAGACAGCATTACCAAGGCAACTCCTATAAAAGAAAACATTTAATTGAGGTGGCAGCTTACAGTTTCAGAGGTTTAGTTCGTTATCGTCATGGTAGGGAGCATGACGGTGTGCAGGCAGGCATCGTGCTGGAGAATTCTACATCTTGATCTACAGACAACAGGAAGTGAAACTGAGACAGTGGGTATAGGTTGAGCATATATGAGACCTCAAGACTTGCCTTCACAAGTGATGTGCTTCTTCCAACAAGGCTCTGTTTGGGGGCTATTTTCTTTCAAACCACCACATACCTTAAGTATTCTATTACTTGAGTGTATTTAGTATAAGCTAAACAATTTTTTAAATTATTTCCCTTATGTAATTTAAGGGTACCTTTGTTTAACCTGTACAGGTTAAGTAGTTTTTAGTACAGAATCAGAAATGGTCCAAAATCTGAGACTTTTTGATCAGCCATCAGGTGTGCTACCACACAGAGCTTATATATTGTTCCCACTCCCTCTTCTGAGTTGTTCCCTGAACCTTAGGCGTAGAGGTAGGCTGTAGATGAACTAATTGGGGATGGGTGCTTCACATTCAGCTATTCTCTTCATTTTGACCAGTTGTGATTTCTGTAATTTTCTTTATCCATTGCAAAAGGAAGCTTCTTTGAGGGGTGAAATTGGCACTTACCTGTGGGTCTGAGGTTTTTAGAATGGAGCTAGAAATTACACCGGTTTAGTCAATTGGGAGTAGTAGGTTCCCTTCTAGGGTCTGTGACCCCAGTACCCTAGGTAGTTCGTTTTTCCTAGATTTACACTACCAGGAATGAATTCCCCTTTACATAGCAGGCCATAAGTCCTGTTAGACAGCTTCCAGTTACTCCTGATATATAAGTGACACTTGCACTGTTCGTGATATCTTAGCAGGCTGGTCCCTGCTCTCCATAGGCTTTGCAAATGGGTAGGAGTATTAATTGCTTTTCTCCTAGTGCTCAGGAAGGAGGCTTCCAGGTCAGTTCCAGCTCAATTCCTCCAAATCCTGTGTCCAAAGTGTGAGGTGTTTTCAGCAACAGGGTTTACCTTCAAGTTCTGGGAGGCAGCCAAGGGCAGTGTCAGTATTGTTTGAGGAGTTGAAGGTCTCCTGGACCTTCTTGACCAACTCTTCAAAGGGAGCTGTCCAACGCCAAGCACTGGGGTTTTTGTAGGGTAGGCTGTGGCTCTTGCAGGGGATGTTGTCACTCCAAGTAGTCTGACTTCATTTAAACTATATGTATGTATATACATATACATTCATATATATATGTATTTTGAGTAAGCATAAAATATTTTCCTATGCATTTAGTATTGTTTATCCCTCCTCGCTCCCTCCTCTACTCTTCTATGTTATCCTTCCAACTTAAAAGTCTTCCCCCAGTTTTTTCCATTTTCCCCTTCATATCACTTGTGTCCTACTTCTTTAGAGTGTGTTTTCATGTGTCTGTATTTTGCTTTTTAATTACTAGTGATTGAACCTCTGGCCTCCTCATACGTGGTGGGCAAGTGTTCTTCCTCTATCCTACATTCCCAGACCCCAGTGTGCATGTGCGTGTGCGTATGTGCGGCGGTTCTTGACAGAAAGTTTCACATTATGTGATTCTGGCTTGCCTAGAACTTACTGTGTAGACCAGGATGGCCTTGAACTCACAGAGATCCACTGGCCTCTGAGGGAATTAAAGACATGTGCCACCACACCTGGTTCCCTCTAAAACATTTCTAATGACTATTTCCTTTTAGCACAGCTTTGGGACCAGTTGTAGAGCTTGTGAGAACTGTCATCTCCCTGGCATGCAGTTTCTTACACATTGCAGTGGTTGTTACAGCTCATGAATCAGCGTAGTGGCAGCACGAGTTCATGCTCATTGGAATCCTTCAGTAGTCGCCCCATGTTCTCCTTCTGCTGCAGGGACCCTGTAGGATACCACATTATATTTAGATGCCACATCTCTCTAAGCGCCTTCAGATTGTGTCTTTCTCAGAATGCTTTTGGATTTTGTTGACATTGCTATTGTTAACTGTATTTTAATTGTTTAATAAGGAAAATGTCATTTTGAAAATCTATTACTCTTTAAAGCTAAAGTTGTTTCTTTCCAAAAGGGCAAGGCTGGAGAGTTAAATCAGCTTTTAAATGCAGTTAAATCAATGCAGGAGAAGACAGTTACGTTTCAACAGGAGAGAGACCAAGTTATGCTGGCCCTGAAGCAGAAGCAAATGGAAAACAGTACCCTTCAGAATGAGGTATACATTCACCATAATGGACAGTGGCACAGTGGTTACTAGCCATTAACTAAGGCAAATGAAATTATTTTGTGATTTTTCTCTTCTTCTGATGTGCTGCAAAAAAACCTGTGATACATGCCTTGTGTATAAGAAAATTACGTCACTCTTAAAACATGAAAAAACTGACATTTACTAAAAATGTACTCTGCCATAAGAGCCCAGTACTTCTGTATGATTCCATTTCTGTTATAACTAAGCAGATGAGATCTTGCAAATGTAAAGCTTCCATTTGAATCCTTTTTAATGTAATTTGGGGAGAAGTTTTCCTGGTATAAACACACTTTGCAGGGTAAGGCATTAGTATATTAATATATTATTATATGTAATATATTATATAATTGATATTTGTAATAATTAGGCTTGTTATTACTAAATAAACATGTTATATTTGTATAATTAATTAAAATATATTACAATTAAAATGATTTAAAATAAATATTATACTTTACAATTATAACAACTTATTGGTACTTATGTGTAATTAATATAATAATACATTTCCGTAATATGGAAAAAATTTGATGACATAAGTGTTTTGTGGAGGTAGGCATTGCATAAAAGAAAAGTAAAGAAAGGTCCTCTTCCTAGGTTCAGCACTTACGTGACAAAGAGTCACGGTTAAACCAGGAGCTTCAGAGATTGCGTGACCACCTCTTAGAGTCTGAAGATTCTCATACCCGGGAAGCTTTGGCTGCAGAAGATAGAGAGGCCAAACTGAGGAAGAAAGTCACAGTGTTGGAAGAAAAGCTAGTTTCATCCTCTAACGCGATGGAAAATGCAAGGTAAGTTTTTCTTTTTTCATGAATGTTAACTAGTCACTTGTTGAGCATCATGCTCAGTAAACGTTTTGCTTATAGAAGTTCAAGTTCATTTTCACAAAAGTCATTGTCTCCATTTTACAGCTGAAGAGTCTTAGGGTGAAGTAGTGTAAAAACTTGATCAAGATAGGCTTGGGGAGTCTAGCACTCAGATGTCCTTCTCCTTTGCACCCCACCCCCATGTCACTTGTCATTTTAGGAAATAGTTCTGAGATGCTGGCAGGTTTTATTGACTCTGTCCAGTTTCCCAAGAGCTAATTAATTCATATGGAATTACTTTTCAGTGGATGATTGAAGGCTGACACCATGTGGATGTTAAAAATGAAAGTGTGTAAGAAGAAGCAGGTTGGAGACCTGGATCAGCTTGAGGAACCACCTTGTGGCTTGTTAGAAGCTTTGAGTGATTGGTCCTTCCTTAAATAGTTTAATTTTTCATTTTTCTCAGTAGAAAGATTTTATTCTTAGGACTTGGTTTTGTTTTTGAGACAGGGTCTCACTAACTCATGCTGGCTTCAAATTTGAAATCCTCATGCCTCTGTTTCCCAAGGGCTAGTATTATTGGTGTATTTAACTGCACCCTACAAGAACATTACATTTTAGAAAAATCACACAAGCCAAAAAGACAAAGACAAAGTAGAGCTCCATTCACCCCAAATCATCCTTTTTTACCATGTTATACCTTTATATCTAGATGTATATATTCTGTCTTTTAAGAGCAAAATGAGATCATATAATTGTTACTGTTTGTGGCCTTTTTTAGCACTTAGTAATATGTCATTATACAAAAAGCCACATATTTCTGCAGCAATATTTTATGACTACATAGTAAGTACACCATTAATTTATTTTCTGGACACTTAGAGCTTTTTTCTTTTTCCCAAATTTGTGTGCCATACACATGCAGGTACTTGCAGAAGCCCCAAGAGAGCATTGTTGGTTCCCATTGGAGCTAGAATTAAATTGAGCTACCTTTTGGGGCTGCTAGGTCTCAAACTTGGGTCCTCTGGAAGAGGTGGACGAGCTCTTAATCACTGAGGCCTGTGGTTAGCATAACAGTACCTGCTAAAGTCCTTCTTTACAGTTTTCAGGTCCTTGTTTTACCTAATGCTTTCAGTCTCTGTCCATTCCCTATAACTTCCGAGATGAGATGAGCATCCTCACATAGAGCTCTGGCCTTATCTGACCATTCTGTGTCGCTCAGCTCTCCCACTGTTTTCCTGTTTCTTTTTTCCCCACTTTCCCTTTTCATATTGACTGAAGGATGGACCTACCTCTCTTACGAGTTTTTCTGTGACTCTCACCTATTTTTCAAATTCTGTTTTCTTCACAAAGGGTTATTATTTAGTGCCCCATCCATCATTTCTAAACCCAAACCCTGTTTGTTGTAGTGTCTTTTTCTGAACTTGTATAGAGCTTTGAGTCTTTTTTTTTTTTTTCTCTTCAAGACAGGCTGGCCTCAAACTCCCAGAGATCCACCTGCCTCTGCCTCCCGAGTGCTGGGATTAATGGCGTGCGCCACCAATGCCCAGCAGGCTTTGAGTCTTTGATGGCCCTTATATTACACTTAGTAATTGTTGCATGTCTTAACCTCTCTCTTATCAAAGAAAGTGTAAGTTCACCTGATGCTGCTCATCTTCTGTCTTCCCACAACATGTATTAAGTGTAGACTAATAGACAGTAAATATTTGTCATATGAGTAAATCCAGTCTATAGGCCACATTATGGTATTTTGACCCTTTAACAAAGTGACGCCTACTGTCTGTTAGCTTTCTGAGCATGTTAAAAGCTCATTTATCCTTACAGTCATATTTAGTTTTGCTAACCAGTCCGGTCGAATGAATAAAAACCTAGGGACATTTGGGGACAGTTTATGTCTTAGTTTACCTCTGCTTCCACAAGAGGGTGCTGTTGAGTAAAATATCTTCCAAGTGAGTTGCTTCTACTTTAATAATTACTCTTGAGTAAGGGTTTAACTGATATTAAATATTAATGAAGACCACATTAATATTAATATTAATATTAAATATTAATTTAGTATTCTGAAAATAATTATTGTTCATCAAAGATACACTCCAAAGATATTATAAGCCAGGCCAAGTGCGGTAGTGCATGCCTTTAATCCCTTTAAGCACTTAAGGCAGGTGGGTCTTTAAGAGTTTGAGGTCAACCTGGTCTACTTAGTGAGTTACAGGCCATCGAAGGGCTACATGATGAGACCATGTCTCAAAAAATAAGATAGATAGATAGATAGGAAGGAAGGAAGGAAGGAAGGAAGGAAGGAAGGAAGGAAGGAAAGATGTAAGACTGGATAGGAGCTATGATGTTAGTATGCCATTGTGGCAGGATCTATAATCTAGCAGATAAGCCTCTGGCCATGCCCATGTGATGGGGAATGTCCTCCTGTATACTGTGAATATATGTTTTTCTTATTGATTGATGAATAAATGCTGATTGGTCAGTAGCCAGGCGGGAGGTATAGGAGGGCCTACCAGACCCTAGGAGAATTCTGGGAAGAGGGAGAGAGAGTTACCAGAGAGATGCCATGTAGCTGCTGAAGGAGTAATATGCCGGAGCATTATGGGTAAGCCACAGCCTCGAGGCAATTCATAGTTTAATAGAAATGGGTTAATAATTAAGAGAGCTAGCCAATAAGAAGCCTGAGCCATTGGCCAAACAGTTTATAACTAATGTAAGCCTCTGTGTGTTTATTTGGGACTGAACAGCTGTGGGACCAGGAGGAATAGAAACTCTGTCTTCACCCTTTGACTATCCAGAGAGGCTGATTGAGCTGGGAAGAGCCATCTCAACTGTGGGCAGCCCCTTTCTGTGATCTCAGGGTCTGGATGGGATAGAAAGGGGAAAGCAAGCTAAACACAACCATGCATTGCTATCTGCTTCCTGTCTGTGGGCGCAGTATGGCCAAGTCTCTTAGGGATCTCTGGGTTCGTATTTGGATAAATGATGGGGCTTCTGTATGTGTATGTAATATAGACAGAAGTTAATATAAAGATGAGCAGTCAGAACAACTGGACAGTGGTGTGGCCATCAGAAAGTTGCAGGTTCATCATAACTCCAGTTGTGAAGTGCAAATAGGTGTCATTAGAGTCCATTCCTTATTAGGGCTGAAGCTGACCAAATGACTTGAAAGTCCCTGAAGATTTGAATTTATGATAAATTATACTGTGTAATTGAAATCTGCAAACTTGAAAGTTGCAAGCTACTTGTAAACCTTTTTGGGGAGGGTGAGAGGGTGTGTGTGTGCATAGTTTCTTATTTGCCTAATTTTTTTTGTTTTTTGTTTTTTGTTTTTTGTTTTTCGAGACAGGGTTTCTCTGTGGAGCTTTGGAGCCTGGCATTCGCTCTGGAGAACCAGGCTGGCCTCGAACTCACAGAGATCCGCCTGCCTCTGCCTCCCGAGTGCTGGGATTAAAGGCGTGCGCCTCCGATGCCCATCTTTTTGCCTAATTCTTAATCTTTAAAAGGGCCATCATTTGTTGAGAGTCATTTTGACAGGATGATTAAGAAATAGATCAGAGGAACTCCTGAAGGTGTTTTGTGTTTTTTTGTGATTTAAATAGAATTTAACACACGACATGTAGGGAAAGTCAAATTGGAGTTGTATGGAATCTCAGTTTGTAAAACTAGATGAAGCTCTGGAGATGGGTGGACTGACGGATGATGGGTGGGAAAGCATTTTTTGTTAAATTATTTAAATAGATGAAGCAGTTTGCTTTTATTCTTTTATTTTGAAGTCATCAAGCCAGTGTGCAAGTAGAATCTTTGCAAGAACAATTGAACATGGTCTCCAAGCAGAGGGATGAGACCGCCTTGCAGCTGTCTGTCTCTCAGGAACAAGTAAAGCAGTATGCTTTGTCATTAGCCAACCTGCAGATGGTTCTCGAACACTTCCAACAAGGTACGTTACTTACATGGCTGATGTTTTAATGAAGAAAAAACTGTAGTTATATTTTGCCTTATTTGATTATGAAGGTAGGTATAGGAAATCCTTAAATGGTTACTGATTTGCTAAGAGGAAAGGTAAGTCACCACCACCAGGTAAGTTCACATACCTTTTATGATTAAAACTATTGTGATTTTTAATAAAGTTTTAGTATATTATTACTAATTAAGATGAAAGTGGAAGAGTATAATTTGTTGTTGTTGTTGTTGTTGTTATTATTGTGCTTTTGGTTTTTCGAGACAGGGTTTCTCTGTGTAGCCCTGTCCTGAAACTCACTTTGTAGACCAGGCTGGCCTCTAACTCAGAGTCTGCCTGTCTCTGCCTCCTGAGTACTGGTATTAAATAAGTGCACCACCACTATCTGACTTTTTTTTTAATATTGTATTTATTTCTTTTATGTGTGTTGGTGTTTTGCCTGTAGATTTGTCTGTGTAAGGGTGTTTGATACCTGGAACTGGAGTTACAGACTTTAGTGAGCTTTTATGATGGAAATTGAACTTGTGTCCTCTGGAAGAGTAGCCAGTGCTGGAGTTAAAAAAGTAAATAGAATGAAGGAGGAGAATCAAGTGATGAAGGAGATTATAGAGGGTTGGTGAGATGACTTAGTGAATAGGTACTGAGCATGATGACCTGTGTTTGGTTCCCCGGGGCCAAGTAGTGGAAAGAGAGAACCTGTTCTTCTTTGCCCTCCACATTCACACTGTGGCCTGAGTGCTCTCAGACATACACAAAGAAAGACCCCCAGACACCTAAGGGCCTCAGGATCCTGAGGAGCCCCTGAGACTCAGAAACCAGACCAAGAGCTGCAAAAGCAAGAGGGTTTATTGAACCAATGTGCATTCAGGTGTCAGCAATATCGGGAAAGCTGCACACCCCAGCATGGGGGTGCAAGCTCCTTATATAGAAAAAACTCACAGATCAGCATACAGGCAAGGGGTACAAAGCGATTGATTACAAAGTGATTGATTACAAAGTATGATTTCATATTAATGAGGTCACCTAGGTGTGACCTGGTTTTCTACAAAGGAAAAACCATAGAATGTACTCTGGAGAGTCCTTGATTGTCTGCTGGCCAGCCAGGTGTGACCCAAACAGAGTTGTCTTGGTGATTGCCCCCGTCTAAACCATAGGATGTGCCCGGGGTTGGGGCCAACTTCCTTGTAATGGGCCAAGGCCTATGGGAAACTTTTTCTTTCTGTGAACTAAAATCTTTTAAAACTTTTTCTCTCAGCAAACTAAAATATTTCAACACAAAGTAAACAAAGAAATATTTATTAAGGGGCCAGGCTTGGTGGCACACACCTTTAATACCCGAAGTAGCGTGGCAAAGTCAGGCAGGTCTTTCTGAGTTTCAGACAAGCCTGATCTACATAATGAGGTCCAGGACAGCCACGGTTACATAGAGAAAATCTCAAAAACTACCAGGTCCACACCTTTAATCCTAGCACTCGGGAGGCAGAGGCAGGCAGGTTTCTGTGAGTTCAAGGCCAGCCTGGTCTACGCAGCAAGTTCCAGGACAGGCTTCAAAGCAATAGAGAAACCCTGTCTTGTAAAAAATAAAAAATAAACAAAAAACACCCCCCCCCAAAAAAAACACAAAAACTGCAGGAGAGAGAGGAGGGGAGGGAGGGAGGGAGGATGTAATAGAAGCACATGCAACAGGAGAATGACACACATTTAGAATGATTAGGTTTGAGATTCTAGAGTTTGAAGCCCTTTCTGACCCTTGAAACTTGTTCTTAGCTGTTCATCTGTGCTTTGAGGTGGCTATATTTCCTACTCCAAGTGTAAAATTACTGTGTTAGAGATACACTAACAGACTAGAGCATGTTTTATGCTAAGAACAAAGTTTGCTTTTGCACATTCCCCCTGCCATCATTAGGTTCCTGACCCATCAGTTTGTGGATTCAGTGTGGTGGTAGAAATTGCGATACACAGGATTGGGATGATATAGGTTAGTTTTACTGGGGAGAAATCACTTACATAAGAAACAGATAATCCAGGGTCAGCACTCCGAACATCCAATCTCAGCTGCCCTCCCAGCTCAGCCGGAACCAAGAGAACAAGCCTGTCCCCTACCCCAGACCAAAATCCCACATGTTCACGTACACACATGTGACCATGCACCACAGGTACCTAGTAAGATCTCTTACTACAACTCAGTACATCTGGTAATTATTAATTGGGTTAACTGATAGTTTAATAGGAGGGTTAGAGGATATTTTTGTGCCTAAGAAAAATTTTACATTTATACTTGTGTGACCCTTTAGAACTATGCATTTAGTTGAAATCTTTAACTATACCACTTCCTACATCTAGCCAGGTGTGGTAGTTGACACCTTTAATCTTAGCACTCAGGAGGCAAAGGCAGGCTGATCTCTGAGTTACACATCAGCCAGGGCTACATAGTGGAACCAAAAAAGAGACTATTTTTAACTTCATTGCTATACTGGGCATGAGAACAGAGGAATGTTGCCAGGAGGCTGTGAAGCAGAGTGGGATGGCCACACAGGTGAGAAGCTGTGAGGCACACAGGCCCTGGTGGCAGTGCCACTTGACATGTTCACTAAGACATTGGTCCTTCCCTTTTGGGGTGTTTAAATGATGTAAAATTCTAGCTTTATACACTGTTGCAAATATTACTGTAACTTTCCTTTCTCCTTAGAGGAAAAAGCTATGTATTCTGCTGAATTAGAAAAGCAAAACCAGCTCTTAACTGAATGGAAGAAAAAAGCAGAGAATCTGGAAGGAAAAGTATTGTCGCTGCAGGTAGGCAAAATGCTTTCTTTTAAGAGCTATGTCTTGGAAATGGTCTCAAAAACCACTCATTTACTATTTAACATTTGAGTGATCTTAACCAGCCTTCTACTGGGTATTACATTGAACCATCAGGCTCAGAATCTTTCAGGTGACAACATTGAGAGTAGGCACAGTGAATGTGAGGTGAAAGGAACTTGAAATGCTTTAGCACACAACAGTAACCTAGGGCCTCTGCAAAATGAAAAAAATTCATCTATATATAGGGTTAAGTTGAATTTTTTTCTTTTGAACAAAGTGTTTTGTATACTGTATTTGTTATGTATTAAATTATACATATTATCCTATTTGATCTTTTCTTCTGGTTCCTTCTCTCGTTTTTAGCAATTTGAGGGAATTTGCTTTGTTTTGTTTTTGGTTTTTGAGTCAGGGTCCCACTTTGTAGCCCAGGCTGCACTGGAGCTCTGAGCACTCAGTTCTTGCCTGAGCCTTGCAGATGCTGAGTTACAGGAGTGAGTCACCATGCTCAGTCTTTTCTTTTAAAGTCTCTTGAATTTTTTTCCTTTTTATTTTCTATTTTATATATAAAAGCCATATGGAAGGTATGGATGAAATCCATCCTGCTGCAGAGATATGACACCAAAGGGATTTGCTTTGGATTTTGGAGGTACTTTTCTCAGTCACTGGCAGACTGCCAACAGCTGGTGAAAGTAATAAAATACCCTTACCTGGAGTTGGTGACAGATAATTCTGTTTAGGACTGTTGATATTCTTTTTTTTTTTTTTAAGATTTTATTTATTTATTATGTATACAACATTCTGCTTCCATGTATGCCTGCACACCAGAAGAGGGCACCAAGTCTCATAACGGATGGTTGTGAGCCACCATGTGGTTGCTGGGTATTGAACTCAGGACCTATGGAAGAGCAGTCAGTGCTCTTAACCTCTGAGCCATCTCTCCAGCCCAGGACTGTTTATATTCTAAGGAAGTAACCATATTTTCTATTAAGTTTTAAAATTTATGTTAAATATTAAGTGGCTATAAAATTTTTAATGTGTATACTGGTATATATAGAATACTTGCATGATAGAAGGGTAGCAATTCAGCAAATGCTCTCATCCTCTTGACCCACCATAATTGGAATGCTGCCTTTGCAGTTTCTATGTACTCTTCCACAGTCTTCCTTACAGTTGTTTCATATAGAAAGAAGCTGGTATTCTGCTTTGTTTTCCCATTTACCATGAAGGACATTTTATATTTGTCTGTATAAGCAATGAGTTTATTATGTACTTCCTTGTATACATCTCACGGTACACACACACACACACACACACACACACACACACACACACACAAAGAGAGAGAGAGAGAGAGAGAGAGAGAGAGAGAGAGAGAGAGAGAGAGAGAGAGAATGAGAATGAGAATTTCTATCAGGTATGCTTTGATTGGAATTACTAAATTATAGGATATGTATGAAAACCGATGCTTTATTTCTAGGGGGGTAGTTTTCTAAACATGGTCATATTAATTTACTTTGACTCTTAATATATTTGTGATTCTTGTTCTACATCTTTGTCAATATGGTACATTATCAGTCTTTGAAGATTTACCGTTTTACCACACTGATGACTGGGAAGGTATATCATTTGTTTTTGTGCTGTTTTAACTACAGCCAGGGTAGTTTATAAAGAAAATAATTTGTTAGCTAATGGTTCTGGGGTCTGGGAACTCCAGTATTCTGAGACTTGTACCTGACAAGGGCCTTCTTGTTGCATCATCCCATTGTAGAGCTAGAGAGACACAGCAGGAGGGACCCAGACTCATCCATTCTGTAAGGACCCCCTCCTGCAGCAGTGGCACTTATTCTTCCCAAAGGACAGTGCTCTGGTGACACAAACACCTTCCATAGCCCCTGCTTTCCAATGTTCCATTTACTTAATCAAAGTTATTAATGTATCTATTGTTAGACCCCCGAAAACTCAAGTATTCGGGGTCCCAGGCCACGTTCAAGGTCACCCCAATCACCAGGCGGATTCGAGAGCTTGCTGCAAACTGCTTGAGGTTTTATTGTAATTTAACGAGCTAACCCCATGTTAGCTCGTGTCTTTCACCC